CCATCTGTGGCTTTTCAGAGAACTGCTTCCACAGGGCTTTTCTGTGGTATTTTCCTGACTTTAGGACTGCAGGTGGTCAGAGGTTGAGTTTCAGAGCAAAATGAGGTCCCAAGTAGAATGAGGTTGCTTAGGTCTTTCAATCCCTTCACCAGCAGTGCTACAGATGTCCCCAAGAAGAGAGACCAAATGTTTCTAAGAAGGGGAACCAGTTGTTTCCATGAAAGAGTTTTGCAGTGTGGAACCAAAGTTCTCAGTGTGAACACCAGGAGAGCTTACCAGATGGCCAAGGTGTCACAACTGTACTGTGTTCAACTTCATGTTTATGAAAGAACTCCAAATGGTGGAGCAAATCATACTCACTCATGGCGGGGGGCGGGGTGGGGGAAGCAGGAGTTCCCTGAAGCAAAAAGAAGCTTCAGCTGCCCTGGGGCAGTCCCGTAGTCCTTCCTTATTTCTTATGGGAACACAATTCTCCACTAGTTGATTCTCAGCAAGCTCACACCAGAGTGCCAGAGCTGACCAAGAAGTCCAGAGCAGGGTTGTTCTCAGGTCCCATCTGCTCAATTTGATACCAAAAGCTCAGTCCTTGTTCTCAACCCAATTCAAGAATGAGGACAAGTTTTAATGAAAAGGGAAAAATATCTTTTTTGCTTTTCTAGCCAAAGAGAAAGTCAACAGACTCATGTCAGAGAGGCTGCCATTCTGCCAGTGCGAGCAAAGGCCTTTAAGAGGGAGACATTTGGACTGATCTCCAAATATTATTATCAGTAGATCTTAAGTTATATCACTGGGGAAAGGAAAAGGAAAAAGAAGAAATTTTAAAAAGTCATTTTTGAAATAAGTCCCCAGTGGTCAAGCAGCAAGGTTTATACTTAAAGTGCAAAAAGTACCCCTGTTTCAAAGCCACTGCATACCAATATGGTCAAGAATTCATGTGGTCTCACCTAATTTCCAAAGCCAAAGGCTGCTTACATTGACTCCACCAACAAATCTATGACACATTGATTTATTCTGCATAATTGTCTTATAACAAAGGCCCAGTAGCCTGAGTTGCTTGCTTTCAGAATTGAATGTATTCCACTAAACTCCAGACATTCCCCTTTCAGCATACTTAAAATTATAGAAAACACATGCCAAAGATTTATCCCACCTCTTATTGTACCTTGTAAATCCTTCTTGGGATTTAAGTTACAGCTATTTCCTAGATTCAGTATGGATGAAGTTACTTCTGCTTTGGATTTAACACAGTGAAATAAGTTGTGAGATAATCTCACTCCACCATTTCCCCAGAAGTTCATTGTGATTTCTAACATGCTTCTTTTCATGTACATTTTAGAATGGCTAATTGCATTTTTCTCTCTTGCCTTCGAAAATACAGAGATAACTTGGGTGTGATTGTCAAAAGTCTGCTTTCGCTTTGACAAAAAATAAGTAGGCCATGTGGGTCACTAGAGTGAGGAGAGCAAAGAGCTGCAGGTGAACATTTCACAAAACCACAGCTGTCAGTCATTCTTGATGTTCAGATGACATCTGGATTCATAAGCATTAAATTTGGCTGCACGTGACAGAAAAATTAAACTAACAATAATGTCTAAAAGATATAGTTATATTTCTTACTCTGAGAAAGATTGGAAGCAGGAAAGAAAGGGTTGTTAAGGGATTTCATTGTCTCAAGAACTTGGTCCCCAGTTTCCTTTTTAGTTTGGGGGAGATTTTACTGTTTTGTTATTCTCTGTTTTGTTTCAGACTTTATCATGCCTGGTCTGCATTCTGAAGGTCTTCTCATGGTTGGAGATGGTTGCCAGAGTTTTTGCAAGAAAGGTCGCTTTCAACCCGTAATAAGGAAAAATGTGTTGAGCTTCTGAATGTTCTTTTTATATTATCATTGATACATTCTTAATATTATGTGCACTTCTGCTATTTTAAATTTCTTTTAGAACTATAAGTTGTTGTAAAATCCAAGCACAGATATGATGATTTAAGGGCCTAAGGCTTCAAATTTTTAGATTATAAATAAGGATGCTGAAGCTTTGTTATAATCTCTACTGCCACCAACTGGTAAATATACAAATTTATTCCACTCTACAGTCATCAATAATAATCCTAAAAACCCTGACATTTCATGCAGTTTTGATGTTGCAGATATCTTTATTCAGTACTTAGAATCTAATTATTTTATACAAAGTTACACATTTTTATCTGAAAAAGGTACCCATGGTGCAAATTTTTATCCCAATTCAGTATATATTCTATAGAGCATAATTATTTCCAATCTGCTTTCTTTTATTTTTTTATTTGTTCTAAATAGTTATAAATGACAGTAGAATGCATTATGACACATCATACATAAATGGAGAATAACTTCTCATTCTTCTGGTTGTGTCGGAGTCCAGCTCCAACAGGGGGTCTCAGGAGACGAACCAATGGTGAGGAGTCGGCGAAAGGGGGTGGAGAAACAACACAGACACCATAGTGAAAGTGCTGAATCCCCATCTTTACTTGTGAAGTTAATCATATATACTTTTCATTTTGGCAGGCTCACAGTACTTTGTGGTTACAAAACAGGAATCATTATTCAAAGAAACAAAATATTACGTAGCTACAATTAGAATAGAAGAATGTATCTTGGCTTATGCATAAGCAAGCATTTTTCCTTTCAGTTCGCGTTTTGCTTTGAGTGTTTCTGTTTAGTTAACTTTTAATAATAGTTAGAAATGTCCCAACTATTGGCCTATACCTTGACTATTCTTTCTTGACTTACTGACTGGAACCGGTGCCATGGTTACGGCAAGTGGTTGACTTGTTATTAATTTTAATCAAACAAGAGTAAGAGCACAAACCATTGTGCACAGGAACAAGAACAAGTTGCCCAGTACTAAGCACTAATCTGTCTTCTTAACATTAATTCTTCTTCTCTAGATTTTAATTTAATTTCTCAAAAACTTCCTTGACAGGAATACAGGGAGTTTTTCATTAGACATTAACAATTTATGCTCCACAGCTGAATCATTGCATCTAGAGCAAACAGATCTATTCTTAGAAGTAGTTGCATTAATTGGGAAAGTCATGTTTTTTCCTTCATACTTAATGGTCATATGAGAAATCGCAACTATATTTATTAAAGGAATACAAAAACAAACCAGCCCATTCCCAGAAACATACTGCGCTCCTCCAGAGGATGGACGCCTTGCACCATCCACCTCAGTAGGGCCTTGCCATTGCCTGAGTCAGGGGAGGGGCGCAGCATGGTTGTATAAGATGTAGAGTTATACTAGTCCTATAATCACATATGCACATAGGGTAATAATGTCCAATTCTTTATTGTGTTGTGTTTTGTCTTTGGAATCTTTTTAACTGTATATTGTTGAGTTAATAATTCTCCTTTACTTATATAATCATTAACACACAATTGTCAGAAATTGGCTTCTGGGCCAGGCACGGTGGCACATGCCTGTAATTCCAGTGCCTCAATGAATATCATTTGGTCTGATCAGCCTTCTTTTTGATAAAACTATTTGATTGATTGATTCTTTATACCATTTTTTCCTTTCTCCACATTATAATGTGTCATCCTTCTATTTCTATGTGTTCTTCTAAACTGCAGTGTTTCTTTGTGTGTGCAACAAAATGTAGTATTTTATGTATTTCATGCTGCACTCTCTTAAAGACCTTCCCATACCAGTCCATATCTACATTCTGCACAGAGTCCCAGAATACGTAGCTAAGATAATTTTTTTTTTCACCAGAGGTGGAGGTGAGTGTAGGGGGATGGGAAGTGTACCTGGGATTTAACTCAGGGGCACTTGACTACTTGACCCTAGCCCTATTTTGTATTTTATTTAGAAACAGGGTTTCACTGAGTTGCTTAGCACCTCTCTTTTGCTGAAGCTGGCTTTGAACTGGATCTTCCTGTCTCATCCTCCTGAGCTGCTGGGATTACATGAGTGCCCAGCCAACTACCATATTTTATGAATGTGTTCCATAAGGAGTGAACATTTAGTGTGCTTCCAACAGCTTAATACCATTCAATTGTCATGAGAAACATGATTAATTATGTTCCCTCATGGAACTGCGTAAACACTTTTTGGAAGATACGTTTAGAAATGGATTGCAAAGTCTACATTTACAAACTTAGACAAGAAACTGCCACAAGCTTTCCTGAATTAATTCACCACCATCAATGCATGAGGACTCCCATCTCTGCTCTTTCCTGAGGCACAGGTTTCTCACCCTGTAAGATTTTGCCCATTAGGTAAAGTAAAATGATACCTACTTGATTACAAGTTTTGTATTTCTCTAATTAATAATAAGTTTGAATAACATTTATATTCTTTTTTTTTTTGAGAGAGAGAGAGAGAGAGAGAGAGAGAGAGAATTTTAATACTTATTTTTAGTTTTAAGTGGACACAACATCTTTGTATGTGGTGCTGAGGATCGAACCCAGGCTGCATGCATGCCAGGCGAGCGCGCTACCGCTTGAGCCACATCCCCAGCCCCAACATTTATATTCTTTAGTTCTTTTATATCAACATCTGTGAATGGTTTGCTCACATACTTTGCTCATTTTGCAATCCTTAAGGTGTAGACCTTTTTCCTTATTAATCTGTGTTTTTATTGAATATGTATGTAATGTTGTGTGTATGTGATAGTAGAAGCAAATGTGACTCCATTTTATTTTGTGACTTCATCCTGTAAAACAACCAAGCCAAGTAGAAGGGTCATGACTGGGGCAAGATGTTCTTTTCCTTTTGCTATAGAAACCTTTAAGAACAGGGAACTACCTAATGGGGCATTGTTTCTGTAACTAGGGTAACGGGGCTCTGTTTCTGTAACTGGGGTGACTGGGCTAACTGTGATTGGTTAGGCTTCCCTCCGCTTGACTGCACCGTCCCGCTTCTGTAACCTGGCTTGCTTGCATTGGCTAGACCCCAAACATCCCTTTTGCAGTTTTCAGGCTTATAAGGAGCGCCCTTACAATTGTTCAGGGCTGACCAGGGGAACAGCTTTATGTTCTGGTCAGCCGCCACCGGTGTGCTTCAATAAAGGCTTGATTCGATTATACGTGAGTGATCTGGAAGTCAGTTTATGAAACCCTGGGATGAAGCTTTAACTATAACATGTATATACATGCAAATGTACCATATATATGTGTATACATGCACATATCATTTTTAGGATTCCAAATCCACGTTTCAAATTTTTATTTATTACTGTTTCTCAGTGTGTCCTTTGTTGTTGCAATGATTCATTAAATCATCTCTTATTTGCAAAGCCATTCAGTCACACATCTGTATTCCTTCAAGGAAATCTTGTTTTTTTTTTTTTTTTTTTGGTACTGGGGATTGAACTCAGGGGCACTTGACCACTGAGACACATCCCCATCCCTATTTTGTATTTTATTTAGAGTCATTGAGTTGCTTAGCACATGGCAGTTGATGAGGCTGGCTTTGAACTCAAGATCCTCCTGTGTCAGCCTCCCAAGCCGCTGGGATTACAGGCATGTGCCACCATGTCCAGCATAAGGAAATCTCTTATTCCCAATAAAAATTTACACCAAAATTGAAACCTGATTGTAGGTGTTCTGACCATGGAAATAGACAGGGAAGTGTTCCCCTGGTGAGCAAACTCTGTGGGGTGGGGGTGGGGTAGCTGGCACCCTGATTCCCACTATTGGACAGCCCAGCCTCCTCCCTCTGAGGGAATAAGACAGCTATGTAGGCTCTATCTGGTTTCCTTAGCAATGTCCTTGAAGAGAAGGGCTCTGTGTTTGTATTAACCTGGACCTTATCTCAGCTAGCTAGCACTCAGGTTAAAGAAATACTACTTTGAATACAGTCATGGTAATGAAAGTATGTGTTCTTAAACTCCCAGGCAGCGGGGAGTGGACACTTCACTTCTCCACCACTTCACCTCACTCCTCTCTGCTCCTCCTGTCTGTCTGCTTGCACTGTGTGTGTGTCTGTGTCCATTCTTTTGTATGCCTCCTGCACAGGCATTCTTCTACAGGTGTTCCTTTACAGCCAGCGCTCAACATTGGGGCACCAGACCCCACATGTCCTCCCAGTCCACGGAGAGTTTGGGACAAGGAAGTCAGCCCAGACAGAGACCCTTCCAGACATTCGGAGAGGTAAGGGGTCGGGGGAGTGGCTCATGACGTGCATCTTTACACCAGCTGGTTCAGATCCCTAATCAGTTGAGTCATGGGGAATTCTCTACTGCACAGTGGCATGCCACGGAGCAGAACTTTCCTTTCTGTTCTGCAAGGCTGGACATACTGTAAGTGATAGTGATCTGGCTGCCTTGCTAACCAAGATAAGCTCTTGCTGTCCCTTTTACCCAGAAAGTGGATGACTCAATTTGAAAGACTAGGAGAAGTAGGTAAAATAATTCATGAAAAGCCACATATTTGTATACCCGTGTTGCAAACTTGGTGTCTTTGTAGGAATGCAGTTGATAAAACCTTAGATTCTCAAACTTCATGCTCTTCTTTTTCTGTGCCTGGCTGCACTGTCCCTTTAAGGGACCTGCCTGCATCTCTCCAGACACTCCAGGACACTAGGTGATTAACTGTCTTTGTCTTCATGCCTGCCTGCCTGGAGCAGCTGCCTCACCTACAACTAAATCCAAGTTAAGTAAGTGTTTGGGACAAGCTGAGGAGGAAGGGGGATTTCATGATTTAGCTGTCTGTTGCACTGGGTTAAATTTCGCTGGTCTGCCAGAGCATAAGCACTTACCTTCTGCTCTATTCAACGAGTTGAAATGTACCATTTTAAAAATTACAAAATCATTTAAATGGTAACTCATTAAGCTGCCTTGCTTGCCACTGCCTTAAAACCCCCGACTCAGACCAAAAGGAGGAGGAACTAATTTCTCTAACCCCCTCAGGATCCCATGACACAAGTGTTTCCAATATACAGAGAGACCTCTCAACCTCATTTCACAGACCCTTTCATGCTACCAGAGGGAGAGCTGGAATAGGTTTGATTACTACTAAAGGCATCCAAGTGAGGGCTCCCAGGGACTGGAACCAGAGTTCAGTTGATGAAGTGTTTGCCTCTCATGGACGAGATCCCAGCTTCAAACCCAAGCAATATTATTTAAATGAAAGGAAAAATAAAAGATTAGACTCTTCTGTTACTGAACATAACAACACGTTTGTCAATTACTGAAAGTAGACTTAAGTTCACCTTGTTTAATAAGCATTCATATTTCTAGGCTTATTGGACACAAATACTAATGTCATGGTCATAAGACATGGTATGTCTTTACACATGGCCTCAAGAGGCCACCCCAGTTTGGGGAAAATAAAATAAAACAAACAAGTGTCCATTCATTCATGGCCTTAATGGGTCACCCTGGTTTGGGGAAAAGAAAACAAAAACAAACAAGGATCCCAAACCTCCCTGTGGCTACCACCTCTTCCCCTTTCAAACCATACAAACCATTGCTTATGTTCAACCATGTGTGGAAACTGTTACAAGATTTGCAAGGTTTAAGGCAAAAAGAAAGAAAGAAAGAAACAAACAAAAACTTTCCAGAAAGCATATAAACTGGAAAGAAATACTCTTAAAAAAGAAAGAAGGGTTACAACATTTTTCCTTACTTTTCAACTTCTGCTGGATTCCTAACTTTCCTAGCCTCATATTTCAATGTGAATTTCATTCCCTATATGATTTACTAGAGTTGCAAAAAACTAGTTTAGACAAAAGAAGAAAGAATGTCTCTTCTAAATCCACACTGCTTGGCTGACTCTCTTAACTGTTTTTACCCAGTTTTCTTACACAGCTCCTCCCCTTCCTTAATGTTGAAGCACTAATAGAAAGGGAAAAGTAGAAAGACTCCAAATGTGCAAGTTTTCTTTTTTTTCAAAAAAAAGTTTTGTTTTACATTATTTTCTTTCAGAATGTGACAGGCTTCCAACTGATTCTTGTCTGAGTTTAAGGTATACTCTGACCCGATAAAAAATGTTGATATTACTGCAATGTAAGTTTTTAAGTATTCTATGTAAGTTGATGTGTTTTTCTGATTAGTCTGTTTTTATCTAACTATACAGATTTTTACATTCTGCCTTTACACAAAGGCCAATTTCCCCAGAGTTAACTCTTAAATACATTCAAAGATTTCTTTTAATAAATCCTAGGAAGATATAAACATGGTTGTGTTAGGGATAAGTCTTAATAACTATAAAGGACAAAAACGCTAGCTATATGAAACCTTAGATTTCAGTGTCCACCATGGTTGTTGGATGTTGTACCTGACATTTCCAATTTCACAGGCCTGTCTTATGTCTATATATTATTATTAAATTGACATTTAGACAAACGAAGGCTCATAAATTAAAATTTAGAAAAATAAATGGACCCAGATAACTTAATTCAAATCAAATAATTAAATAAATATATAGATGTTTTTAAGGTGATGGCTCATGAGTGTTTATAGGTGGCCAAATAATAAAGTCTTAATTTCTAAAATATATGTAAAATATAATATTCATTACTTCTAATTTTTTTCAACAGAGAAAGGATGATTAATACTATTAATCATGTTTTTCTTATGTTTTTATGTTATAATTAAAATGAATAAATTAAATTTAACATAAATGAGATTAGCCTTCATATTATGGTTTCTTAAATAAATAAATTAAAAATTAGAGCTGATGCCAAGCTGATCTCTCCTTTTGTTTCCAGTTGTTAAAAACAAACAAACAAAAACAGGATGCCACCCCCTTCCTTTATTTGACTCCTTCTTTAAAACAGGCTTTACAAAGAATTCATGAAAAGTTATTGACAGTGATGGAGGATCAACTTCCTGTATCTAATGTGCTATTATCATTGATAGTTCTTGTTGGAAAGCCTTATGCTTTTGAAGCAGTAGTTGCTATTCTTAATAAGAAATGATATATAACAAAATGGCTATATTCTCCTCACTTTTCAGGCTGTAATATTTTGCCTTTTACTAATATGTATGCTCAATTAATTGCTGATGGTCATATTAAAATTTTATCTTTAACAAGCATGGATATTCATGTTTTGCACCTTATGAAAAAAACTTTATATCTCTAATACGTACCATTCATCCTATTATCAAGCTGTATTAGCTAAAATTTTAGTGCTCATTGTGTTTCACCTGCCTCATGATGAACAATTCTCTTTGTTATATCAGTTTCCTTAATTATATCCGTTTTCCTTAATTCCTACTGTTCCTCTTATAGATGAAATAATGGTGTAAACAAACAGGTAAACAAAGAGGAGTAATATCTGTTTTTATTAATGGTGAATGGACTATTATACTCTACCTCAAAATTCTCCACAGTGAGCTGAGTTAGCTACCTTTATCCTGATGCTGAAATTGTTTTCTACTATTTTAAATGTTATTACAAGTTCTCAATATATAGTTAAGCTTGTGCTTCATATTTCCATGGTTGGGTTATGCCCTCATTTGGATTCCAATTCACTGTCTCTTTTTTAAACCCTTTAAACTCTTTTATAGCATCATGCATCTCCTATCTTCCTTGCTCATAGATATAGCCACCCCAAGATTTCTAAACTTTTGATGGAGGTTGTCGCTCACACAGATGAAGATATGAAATCTGCTTATCCTTTTTTTTTTCAAATGCTGTGAAATCTCATGGATTTTTTCATCAAAATACTCGGTCACTACTGAAAACATTTTCCATATCTTCTCAAAAGTTTCATGCTATAGTTAGCAATTGTTCCCACTGTGTACACTTATGAACCCTATATAAAAATTTGTGAACCCAGGCCTACATTTTAATGCACAATGGTAAATGGATGTTACTTATTTCACTCCTTTTTTTCATGTTTTTATTACTACCCATTCTGGATTTATTTAAGCTAGTGCCCACAGGTATAAAAATGTATTTGCTTGCATTTCTCACTTATTGCTTTGCTTTCCACCATGGGCAAGCCTGCTTATTTAGAAAATGGATAATGCCCCTGCGTATACATCTTGTGCTTTTGCACAATTTTGTAATCAATGAAATATAATTTTAAATCATAAAATTCCTCATAATCCTACTGAACAAACTGGTTAAATGAGTGCATCATACTCTTGAAACTTGCCTTTTAAAACTAAAACAAAAAAAGGGGCAATCTAGCCTCTCTCATGTTAATAATGCTTTAAATATTGTTTTATTTACAGTTAACGTGCTCAATATGGAATGCAAAGTTGATATTCACAATTGGTTGTCTGCTTTGGATAGACATTGTATTCCTAAACAGCCATTACTAAGAATTTATGTAAAATATAGGGTTCCACCAGACCCAGGATGACAAGACCCTATGCCTCTGACCACATGGGGAAAAGGATAGTCTGCTGTGCTCACACCAACAGATCCTACTTGGACTCCAGCTTCATGCATGAGCTCTATCCATTGTGAATGGACATCGGGAACTTCACACCTTGATTCCCAAGTTGCATTTGATCCTGGATGAGGAGAGTCCCACCAAACAAGAGGAAACTCTCCTCAAAAGAGAGGAAGCATTAAAGAAGGACAGATAAGAGACATGAAAAGAGGATCCCAAGCTTCTAGACTTCCAGTGAGTTGGGGACATATAAAATCATTAACAGCCTCAGCTCTACAGCTGTTGGCTCAAAGGGGCTTAAAATGTACTCTGGAAAACTTAGTTACTGCTTTGTTTGCTAAACTTACATCAAACTCTGTAAATGTTTTGATCCTTGTGATAATGTTATTCTGCTGTTGTACCCCACTTGTGCGAAACATAGTTCTAAGTCAGACTCCTGGAGTTTTAGAACCCATTATAATATTTAGGTTCGCTTGGTGAAAATTGTTATATACCTGCAAGAATGTCGCAGCAGATTAACTGTGTTCTCACCATCCTTGCAGGATTTAATGGGCCACCATCATGCACAACGTATTCATAAAAGGTCTATTCCCCTTGATGAAAACTGTGATGATTCAGTACATCGTCTCTCAAAGGCAGAATTTGACGCTTTGACATTTTCCATAGTGGGTTTCCCTGGACTAGCTGTCGGGGCTTACAAAACCACTATGAACCTGGCCTGTGCTGTGGTAAAAAAAGTACTAATCCTACCTCTCTGGCCATTAATATGCTTAATGAAGAACAAAAACAACATCGCCAAGACATTCTTGATAACCAGGCTGCTATTGATTATTTGTTGTTGTTACATCATAAAGGATGTGAGGATAAAACACATAAAGGATGTGTTGCTTCAATTTAAGCGATAACAGTAATTCTATTTTAAGAGCATTAAATTACCTTAAATATATCATTAGAAGGTCCAGCAAGATGATGAAGGTTTAGACTTGTTAGATTGGTTAACTTCATGGTTACCCAATTGCATCTGGTTCAAACAATTATTCATAGGTGGAAGTTTGCTGCTATTGGGATTGTTGTGTTGCACTTGCTGCTTGTCAATGCCTGCCCTATATTTCCCCTTGCTAGGATTAAGAAGAAAACAGGTATTTTTCATCCAGAAGGCCTTAAAAAACAAAGGAGAGCTGTAGGTATTCAGACCATGGAAATAGACAGGAAAACATTCTCCTGGTGAGCAAACTCCCGGGGATAACTGGCAGGGTAACTGGTGCCCTGATTCCCACAATTGGAATGCCCAGCCCCCTCCCTCTGAGGGAATAAGACAACTATGCAGGCACTAGCTGCTTTTCTTAGCAATGTCCTTGGAGAGAAGGGGCTCTGTGTTTGTATTAACCTGGACCTTATCTCTATTAGCTAGCACTCAGGTTAAAAAAAAAATACTAATTAGAATACAGTCATGGTAATGGGCGGTATGTGTTCTTTGAGTTAATAAACTCCCAGGCAGCAGGGAGCGGACCCTTCATTTCCAGACTTCTTCACCACTTCACTTCACTGCTCTCTGCTCCTCCTGTCTGTCTGCTTACACTTTGTGTAACACTCTTATGTGCCGCCTCCACAGGTATTTCTCCACAGGTGTTCCTTTACAGTTAATTAATCAATAAGTTAGAAAAAGACATCAGATAAAAAGTTACATTCTTACTATTCAACAAAATTTTACATTTTTGGGGGGGACTGGGGTTGTGGCTCAGTGGTAGCACCCTCGCCTAGCATGCATGAGGCACTGGGTTCGATCCTCAGCACCACAGAAAAACAAAATAATGTGTCCACCTAAAACTAAAGATACATAAATAAATAAATGTTTAAAAAATTTCTACATTTTTAAAATCGTCTTTCAATTTGTTCAAGGTACTTTCCATCACATGTCCAGGAGATAGTGCAAGGAGGGGTGGAGCACAACACCCATCTCCTTGCATGTCTTCACAAATGGAGATGCTTAACCCTCACCACTTCCCCACTTCCCCAGCCTGCCCAGTAATTCTGAGGATACAGCCAACTCCTTCCAATTATGAAATCTTAGCAAGTTAACATGTCAGCCAGGCAAGCCTGCTTCACATTTTATAGTTGGGGTTTCCATCCTTTTTTTTTTTAACTTTATAGGAAATTTCCTTTCCCTAAACATGAACGTATGGTTCCTGGAGCACAAAGCTTGCTCAGGAGACCAACAAGAATATATAATCAGAGAGAAAAAGCTCTCTATTTATTCCATATTGTTGATCAAGCCCAGCAATAGAGAAAGAAAGAATAATTTTTTTTTTCAGAGATCTTTATAGAAAATGATATAGTAAGAAGAAAATCTGGGGAAAAGTACATAAAACTGCATGAAGTTTGACTCTGTATGATGAAATCTAACCATCAAAGATGGAACTAGCTGGGAATTAGAGATTATTAATCATATGTTCAATATCTTGGAGCTAGGACTGATTTTTATAAATTTTGGAATTACTCTCAGTGAATATATTCCCTACACAAAAAGTTGAACTGATGAATAAATACATGGACAAATGAATAAGTGAATAATTTTTTTCAGGAGGAATTCCATGAGAAATATCTTACATGTTGAACTGTTGTTTTCATAACATTAAAATGGTTGTGCTAGATAATCTTTTATCCTTTTGAAGGCCCCGAGAAAATACATTTTTTGCCTATATTTAGATGGACAAAAGAATGAAGATCAAAAAATGTTTCAAAATCACTCACTTAACCAGCAGCATGAAAACCGCTTTGATTTCTGGTCACTGGTTGACAAAAACACATGAAGAGTACAGGAGGGGTATGGATCCAAGTGCCACAGTTAAAAATCAAGTTAGTATAAAAGTTTATAAGAAAAAGCAAAATATAGGAATCAATTTTAAGTAATAACCAATCTTAGAACAGAGAAGAATGAAGAGGGAAGTAGAAAAATAATTTGCAACCAAAAGTAGAAATCAGCTGAATCACCTGATGCCTGGTACATTGGGCAGGATGCTTTCAGTCACCAACAAGAGGACACCATCATAATGAGCTGAAAATACTAAGGGAAATTTTATTGGGTGACATGACTGAGAATTTCAGGGATCATTCAGGCTTTGGATACTGTTTAATCTAAACTCTTCTGTGAGTCTATTGTCATTACATTCTTGACTATTTGATTAATACATAGACTTGCTGTTCCGGAGTTGAAAAAATAATTTGAGCTGGTTTAAGCTTTATATCCTACATGATAACATTCAGAAAAAAAGAGAGTATCACTTTCCCCTTACTAACATCACAGATTTAGGCTCCTTATAAACCGAGCCAGCTTAGGACAGGTACATACCCAGACTCATTTATCTAACAAAGGTAAGTGGAAACTATAGAATGACTACCTTGAATGATACGTTGCCTGTACATTCTTTAGCTTATCACTTTCTCAAGGATGAGTTCTCAAGATTGTCTTAGGCTGATCACTGCAGTTGAGAGTGGAGTTAATCGACCCCATGGCTGCCATGCAAATGTGGTAAAAAGAATGGGAAGCTAGACAGACTGGAGCCAGTCATGTCTGTTCCAAGTAGAAAGTCTGAAGTGTCCCAATGTTTGATTGCCCCCTTCTCCTGCTTTTCATGTTTGCCTTTTCTCTCATGACAACTTCACTTCCCAAAAGTTTAACTATATTTTGGATCTACTCTCAGTGCATATGTTTGCTATGCAAATAGTAAAAAATTGAATTGTGATGAATGAATGGATGGATGGATTAATTTTTCAGGAGAAAAAAGACATAGGAAAATATCTTACATGGCCTGGTCTCTCTGGATATTCCCCTTGCCCTGGGTCCCCTCTTCTCAGTTCCCTAAGCAACACGAGGCTAAGTCCCTTTTTCCAAGTTGAGCTCAAGTAAGTTGCTCAATGAGAAACCTAAGAAAGGCCAAAAAATAATAAAGAGCAGAATTCAATTTTTTAAAGAATATTTTCAAGCTCATACTTTTATTTTTTTTTTTTTGTGTGTGTGTGTGTGGTGCTGGAGAATGAACCCAGGGCCTTGTCCATGAGAGGCAAGCACTCTACCAACTGAGCTACTGAGCTATATACCCAGGCCCAGTGATGATCTTTTTTTTTCTCCATTATTTTATACTCAATATGCACCTGCTGCATAATAAGTATATAGTAGGTGCCTAGGAGCTGTTGAATCCATTTAGGAATTTTAAAGAAATTGAAGTTAATCATGGATATCTTGACTCACACTGTCATTAAGTCCACCTTCATAATCAAGATTTCTGTATTTGCTAACTTGTCTATTTATTGATCTTCACTTGTAACCCCAAATCAATACTCAGTTTTTTATGGATCTGTGCACTGTGGTGCGACACTTGAGTCACATGAAGGTCATGCTCCTTGGGCCCGAGAGTTGGGAAGTGGCCTACGTTGCCTATGTGAGAGGCTCTCAGGGTTCAGCACACTGAATCTGGAAGTTGTGGTGAGCACACTAACCACACTCAGCCCCATCTCCATGGTAACCTGGCCTCTCTCAGGTGCACAGCATGTTCTTTGCCTTCTGCTTTTCTGCCACTGACCTACTAATCCATTGGTTACTGCTTGTAAGTATGTTTCTGGCTCTTTGGATCATTATGACCCTCAGATAAATCTGTCCAGTGACAGGCTATGCTTAAAAGCTTGCCTATGAAATAATAAAGTGGATTGAGCTCTCGAAAACTGGTCTCCAGAGGTCTCTTTTCGATTCCGTTGCCACACCATCCTCAGCTGTTCCGAGGGCTTCTGCAGGACCGAGCGAGCCCCTACACACTCCCTAGAAAAGTCACAGGAGGTGATGTTCTGCCTCTGGTTTCACTCCTCACTACAGGACAAGCATCTTTCTGTGGTCTATTCAGCACCATTTTTTCCCCATATTTTTGTGTCCTTTGCTACTGATTTTGTGAATTAAAATGACCCCAAAACATACTGCAGAAGGGCTATCTACTGTTTTTTAACTCAAAAAGGCTAAAAAGTGCCTTAAAGAGTAAATAAATGAGTTAGATGAACTTTGGGTTACAGTTAGAGTGCAGTTGGCTGTGATTTCAATTTTAATGAATAAACAATACAGAACACCAGGGAAAAGAGGAAATCTGATTAGTAAGTGAGCATTTTTTTATAGTAACAGATATAATGAGTAAGCTTTGTAAAAGCAGCTAAATTTATTTTTTTATTGAGACAAAGTAAATTTTTTTTTAAGTAGAGAGAATTGTAGCAAAGCTGAAAGCCAAAGAAATCTACAAACACATTATTCAAGTCAGGAAATTGTTATACACTTTTCAGGTAGTGTTTTAGTACAAAAAAAACTGCATTTAAATAATTATTTGCAATTTATTTAACTGCATTTAAATAATATATTTTAAAACAAATATACAAAAACAAAGTTATGTATTTAATGTTTAACAAAAACATTATAAACTTCTAACCCTGTTTTTACCTTAGTAACATGGTTCAGTGTTCACTAATCCAGTATTTGCAGCAGCCACTGTATAGAATATAACTACAATGAATAATGACAGCAACGTACTGTATGTACATTACTTACTTGGACCCTGTATTAATCCTTAGGAACAATACTCTCTTTTATGATTCTTTTCTCTTCAGTGACATACTTGTATCATATTCCAAATACTACCTATATCAGACGCCTTTCAAGTTTTTTTATTAGTTGTTCAAAACATTACAAAGCTCTTGACATATCATATTTCATATATTTGATTCAAGTGGGTTATGAACTCGCATTTTTACCCCATATACAGATTGCAGAATAACATCGGTTACACATCCACTTTTTTACATACTGCCATACTAGTGTCTGTTGTATTCTGCTGCCTTTTCTATCCTCTACTATCCCCCCTCCCCTCCCCTCCCCTCCCATCTTCTCTCTCTACCCCATCTACTGTAATTCATTTCGCCTTTCAAGTTTTAATGCACCCAGTGAATCTACTGTTGATTTTTTTAAATGTAAAGAATAGTTCATAAGTCTAACATCAGAGGCCAGATTCTACCTTTCTACCAACCCCCAATGTGATCAATCTGCCACTTGACTATCAAAACATTGAATATTGAGAAACTTCATCCTCCCCAGCTCTTTCAATTTAAAATCTTTGGAACAATAGTTCTACTATACTAATTCTCTACAGTTGAATAACAAAAGAGGAAAGATGAAAAATTGTGTTTCTTCTCAGAGGCTCAGAGAAGAAATTGTAAAACTAGGATAGCTTGAAATATCTTGGCAAAGTGAGAAGACTTTTAATAAGAGGCACATCAAATACCTCAACTGTAACACAGATGTCAGGAAAGGAGAAAATTTTAAAATATTAAACATTTGGCTTAAATTAAATACTGTTTTTCTTAAGAACATGTTATGTGCAGGCAAGACACTTCCCCAGGGTTATAGACATTAAAAAGACATGCACTTTGCTCTCAAGTTTCTAATATTAAAAAGGGAAAAGAACCTACACAACTGCCAGAGAAGCTAGGGAGTGAGGGGTATGGATAGCAAAGTGCAGTTGAAATGTGGGGGAACATAGATGAGAGACAGACTGCTTTCCACTGGGAATCAAGGAAGGTCCTGGGAAGGATGTAAGCTGTGAAGGTGTGTGGAATGCACCTAATGATCAATTAATATCGATCAAGGTGGAGTTAAAAACTGAATTTTAAACCCCCAGAATTCAGGTGAGAACAACAAATCCTGCAAGCTTACACTGAGCATTTCTTGGTTAACTGATCATGAAGTAGCAATAAATTATAAAGGTTTCACTAGGAGAGTTGAAGTGATGTCATCACCACGTGGTGTTGAGGTGTATGATGAGCAGCTGGGTTATTG